ACTGAGGGACAGGCTTGGCCTGAGCTCGTTCTGTGAGCCTCTGGCCCGGGGCAGCCAGCCAAGATGCAGGAGGATGCAGGGGACTTTGGTCTTCTCTCTGGGAGGGTCAGACAGGGGGCCAGAGTCAGAAACTGCTTCCTCAGCCAGAGCAGCACATGTGGCGCTCAGCTGAGCAGGAAGGGCGTGCACAGGACACTGCGACCCCTCAAAGTGCTTTCCCTGCTGCTGGAAGCCCCTTCTGGTACCACCTTGGGAAGAAAACTTAGGACCAAGCACCAGACAGTGAAAGCAATGAATGAAGCCCCCACGGCTGTCCCCAAGGGCTCCAGCTGCATTCACAGCAGCCCGGCAGCGTGTGTGGGGTCACAGCCCCTCCCAGGGCTCCTGGGAATCCTGCTCGGCATTTAGAACACAAGAAATGCCAGAGCACAACAACGGCGGCGGCCAGTCCTGCTTGGCACCACTGGCTGATGGTCCACAAATACGACCATCTCTGCAACTTATGGTGACAAGCTTGCGCTGACCTACAGGGCCCCTGTGCTGTGTGCCCTGGACAAGCTCCTCCCCTCTCTGGGCTGGTTTCTGGTTCTCTTTCCCTTCGGCTCCAGACATGAGGTGAGAGGAGCAGCTGACGAACCTGGACCACTGCTGCACCCGGCTGGACGCGGGCCTCGGGGGGAAGACAATGCTCTCCTCCTGCACAGCTCTTCCGGGGTCCACCACAGACACTGACCTGCTGACACCCGGCTTCCCGACAGACAAACCTAGGCCCTTTGCGTGTGTGGCACAGGGACAGACCTGGCTGCTGGGAAAGGTGCGGAGAGGCGGAGCTGGGGGGTTCCGACCCCTGCCCTGCTGCACAGATGAGGCAGTTCTTGACCTTCCTGACTTCCCAGCGACCTCGCTCACCATGAGCCGCGGAAACACGATCGGTGGACGTGCAGCTGGCGAGGTGGGACAGCCCTCCGTGGGCCAGCTGTGGCCTAGAGGGACACACAGCTAGGCGGGCATCGAGTCTCCCTCTGACCACTGACACGTGGACTTTCTCCGTGAGCGTGTGGTGAAGAGCTGCAGGGGCGCCAGCCTGCGGGGGAGCGGGCGGGGAGCTGCAGACCCCGCACCGGGCGGGGCTCAGCGCTCTCTCCACAGCCCAGGCACTCGGGACCCATTGGCAAGGGCAGCACGAAGCCCAGAGTCCCCACCCCCAGGGGCAATGCCCAACATGGCACTCATGACACCTGTGGGCAGGTGAGGCAGGCTGTGAGCATGGCAGGGGAAGCTGCTCCTGTGGCGCCTCAGGACAAGTGTAGGGGGCGGAGGGAGCAGGGCCCTGGTGCTGGGTGGCCATGCCAGAGCAGACCACAGGCGCGGCAGAGGCTGCCCTGGTGAGCAGCCAGGGGTGGCGGGTGGTGGCCAGAAGGATGAGCAGCAGAGGGGCAGGGCAGGGCCCAGCCTCCGGGCATGTCCTAAGGGCAGTGCCAAGGCATGTGGCTGAAGGCAAGGCCCTGGACAAGAGACTCGGAAGATGTGGCCAATGAGAGTCCCGGGAAGCAGGTACACCACCCGGCCCCCAGAGAAGACTTGTCTGCAAAGTGTCATCATATCAAAGCTAAGGGTGGTCCCCAAAGGGTTCTGCCAGACTCCAGGCCACGCTCCAAGAAGCAGGGTCCACAGTCATAAGACACCTGACAGGCGGATCCCCAGGGACCAGGACGCGTGGGGAGACAGCTGCAAACCAAACATAATCCAAGAGGACAGAGACGAGGCACAGAAAACTGCGGAGGAGGGAGAGGCTGAGGGATCCAAAAGCAAGCTGAGGTCCTGCAGTGATGTCCTCGCGTTGCCCACGCTGCCTGTGGAGAAAGAAGTTCCCCTCTGACAGGTGTGGGAGCAAAGCCAGCGTCACAGAAAACCCCCATGAGCTGAGGTCAGAGGAAGAAGGACGAGTGCTTGGCCTCACAGTGGAGGGGTGTCGGGTGATGAGACCCTCTGCTGAAATCTGGGACCTGATTCTATTGTGATACGTTTTCCCCAAACAGAAGACAGTGCATGGCCAGCAGTGCAGCCTCAGGGTAGCGCAGCCTCAGCCTCTTCCCAATGGCACAAGCCAGGGCTGGCGGAGACCCAGGGGAGGAGCGGCACCCCCTCGCTCCAGGCACCCACACAAAGAAGAAAGAAAAGAAACCAAAGAAACACAAAATACTTCACACCTCTATTTTTAAAATGTAAAACTGAAAACACTGTTCTATAAATAGACCTCTGCCTCTGGCATCTGTTTGCATCTTCTGCTGGTGGATGTCCCTGCCACCCTCCTCTGCTCTCAGAGCCACTGGGACGCTTGTCAAACCCACCCATCCATGCACTGTGCGTGGCGAGGCCGCCTCTGCCCTCCAAGGCCGCCTGCTGGGGCCACTGTCTGCCTGTCAGTCCTGCCCACGCCTGAGCTGGGGTGGGGGTGGGGGTGCTGCTTCGCTCCTTAACTTCCCAGGGCTCCTGCCTCACCTCCCTCCCAGCTGGGCTGAACCTCTTAAGAGCCACGTGAATTGATCATACACCCTGCTAGGTCCCAGGGCCATCTGACTCACGGACGTTGGTTAAAATCAGCTTTCTTGTAAAGTCCTGAAACTAGCCGGGGTTGAGGGTTGCACAACTCTGTACTCTTGGGAAATAATATCACTAAACTGCATATTTAAAATGGATGAATTTTATGGTCAGCAAATTATATCTCAATAAACCTGTGAAATTAAAAAAAAAAGCAGCATCCACTCTTCTGGAGATATCATTCAGGGCCACTCCTGAGGCGGGGACCCAAGCTCGCTGCACTCAGTCTCTCCACCTCTGGTGTGGGGTGTGCCTGGTGGAGGCGGGGAGAGAGAGGGCGGTGATCAGCAGGAAGACCAGCAAGCTACACAAGCGACAAGCTGGGGCAAGGAGGATGCACTTCACACCAAGCTGGACCATCCCCCTCTGCCATTCTTTTGTGGGAGCGGGTACTGGGGATTGAACTCAGGGGCCCTCGACCACTGAGCCATATCCCCAGCCCTATCTCGTATTTTATTTAGAGACAGGGGCTCACTGAGTTGCTTAGCTTCACCCTTGCTGAGGGTGGCTTTGAACTCACGATGCTCCTGCCTCAGCCTCCTGAGCTGCTGGAATTGCAAGCCCGACCTACCTCTGCATTTTTATAGGTCTAACAGGTGCGTGTTGCCACGGGCCCCAGAGCAGGAGCTCAGCTCCCGGCACTGGACCAGCTGCCCATGAGCTCTCTACTTATGGACTCAGTGACCAAGGTCGGGTCAGAAGCCCTAAGAGCTTCTGTCCCTAAATAAATCCCCCATCCATCAGCGGGTGGCTCAGCCTCATCCAGGTGACACATGCGGTTCCCACGTGCAGCTCACGATGGCTCAGAAGCCAGCGTCCTTCTCTACTGTTCCTCCACAGCCTCCGGAGCAGACCTGAGCTCCAACCGCCACCAGCCTTGCCAGGCGCCACCAAGCCCACAAATGAACCCGGTAGGCAACGCAGGCCTTCCTGGCAAAGCAGACCCCCCCTTCCCTGAAGTCACCAGGGTCCCACTGTCCCTAGAGCCCCAGGATGTGGCTGGGGTGCTGATTTGACGTCTTCCTGGGGAATAAGGAGGGGTAAAATAAAGGCAGAAAGCAGAGCCAGGGCCGAGGAGGGGTGAGGAGAACCGAAGCCCCCTGTTGTAACTCACGGAAGGGGAGGGTGCGCCCTGCCAGGAGCCCCAGGTAGCCTGGGCAGACTCCCGGGCCACTGTGACAGACAATGTGAGGCCAGCAGGTGGCTAAGGACACCTCTTCCTTTGGCTCACACAGTAAAGGTGACACATGGCTGGCTGGGGCCCAGAGAGTGCCCCACCCCCATGCACAAGGAGGTGGCTGCAGCTGCACCCTCAGGGACGTGGCTCCCAGGGACAGCTGCACCTCTGATTCATGGTCTTGGCTGGGCACTTGGTGTACAAGGCAACTTAATTTCTGTCACAGACGCGAGAAAGGACACTCAGACTCCAGTGAAGCTGGGGAAGGAGAGACCAGCAATGGGGGCTCCGTCCTCTACCGTCTGGGATCCCTGGCCTCCTGCTATTCTACAGGTGGGGGCTTTCCTGCCTTCCTGTACCTCACTCACCCAGGAGGCCCCAGCCAGGGTTCCAAACACCCACAAGGTCTCCACTAGAACACCACCCAGGAGTAAGGCACCCCTGGGGCCTGTGAGCCAGAGGACAGCAAACAATGTGAAGGCAGGGGATCTGTCACCTCTTCAAGTCACCCAGGAGCTACCTGACAGGTGTGAAGTAAGCTCTCACGTGCTGGAAGATGGCAGGAGGACAGCTCACCTGGTCTTTCAAACTGACATCGAGCATCAGAGGCAGGAGGACTTACAACTTTTGCCCACTAGGTGCTCCAAGTCCAGATGGGGACACAGATGAATGACCACACACCCTGGGGAGCGCTGCCTTGGAGCAGCAAGAGCAGAGCCTCACAGGACCCAGCGCAGGACAGACATCCACACTGAGAAAGATGCTCGCCTAAGGTGCTGCCCCCAGCACCCCAAGGTGCAGCTTCTCCCAGATCTGGTGCCACAGTCCAGAGTAACACCTGGGTCCTTGATCCTTATCCATCGGCCACGTCCTGCACTCAGCACGGGGAATCTGATTCTGCTCAAGGCCAAGAGACCCCGGGACCCTGCTCATGACTCAGACCCCAAGATCCAGACCCATCCTCTCAGGTGGCACACAGCAGTGGCCTCCTGAGCCTCAGCACGCACAGCCAAGGAGCCAGGAAGGATTCACTCTGGGAAGAAATACGCTCTTGGCTTCAGGCCTCGGGGCAGTAAACCCACTCTTTAAAATCTCACCAAAACGGTCATGTGATTCCACTGTGCTGGCTCCAAGCCGGCAGCCAGGGCTCAGTGGCCAACAGCTGTCCAAAGCCAACGGCACTGCCCGGGCACTCCAGGGGGTGAGGGGCACTTTCACTCACCAGACAGCGGGTCTTTGCCAATCATCAAAACATTGGGCAAATTCATGACGATCAGCTGCTGGAGAACTTCCTACAGAGACAAAGGGAGAAAGGCACCGTTAAGAACAGAAGCAAAAATAAAGAGCGATCACGTAAATCTCATTTGATGGAGTCACCGGGTGAGTGCGCAGCCACCAAGGGTGACTGCGAAGACACCACACAGCAGGAAGGGCTAGTTAAGACAAAAACGTACGTAAAAAGATCAAAGTGTGATCGTACTTCTGCTGTGATCATTATCAAGTAAAAAATGACGTCTGCATGTAGAGAGACTGTGGGAAAGAGGGAAGACCAGCTAGGGCTGGGCTTGTTTTTAAAGATATCCCTAATTATTTTTATTGTATCTTATGTGATTAAAACAGGAATAGAGAATAGGAGTTAGAGATGCTCCCCAGAGAGATCGGGAATCATGAAGTGCCCAGGCTCCTCAACCTCAGGATTAAGGATCCAGGCATTGCACTGTTTATGGCCCAAGTCCTAGGGAAGGAGACCCGCTGACAGAGGCTACATCTTGGGACAGGAAGCCATCAGGGCAGGGGGGACAGAAGCTGCTCCTGGCCCTCACACCAAGGGCCTGGGAAGAAAGGCCAGGACAGTCCCTCCGCCATGCCGTCTCCCGGGGTCTTTCATGAGCTCCGCTCTAGACCAGCCCGCCCGCACCTCCCACGGCATGTCTCAGGCCAGGCGGGCTCCTTCCCTGCCAGTGCGTCCAGCTTTTCACAAATCAGAGGGAAGAACCCAGTTTTACACAAGATAAAGGGCTATTTCCAGGGCTCGGGCCACCTTGGGAGAGAACCAAGGTCACCTTCGCCCACCATCTGCCCTCCCTTTCCAATTCCTGGCTGCTGTCCTGCAGCCACCATCCAAGTCTTGGGATCCCTCGATCCTCCACCCCGTACACAAGCTGATAAATGAGACTACGTGGGCCACTCTCCAGCATCGCAGGGCCTGGCCCTCGCACCTGGCTGGGGTGGGACCAGGTGCACCAGCAGACCCAGGTCTGCTTTTGTTTTGTTTCTGAACTAATCTTACAGATCTTAAGAAAGTGGTACTTTTATGCTAATGATAATCTAAGCAAAATACTGACAGAAAGTATCGTAGGAAACCTCGGTATTCACCTTCCATTTAATTTCATTTAATCCATACTTTCTAATTTTCCCCATAAGAAACACATTTTGCAATTAAGGAAAGGTTTTTTGATCCCTAGTACCGCAAAAATAAATAAATTGAAAAAGGGAAAAAAATATTTTTAAAATTTTGTGTCTTTCAAAACACCCTGGGGAGGGGCAACCCCTGTCAGAGGTCCCCCTGTCCCTGCGAGACCTCTGATTCTATTCTTCACACTTGATAAATCCTACTCCTTTCACTCTTAAAAATAAAATTAAATTAAAAATTAAAAAAACATGGGCCTCCCAAGACCTGACCCTATGGCCAAAAAATGCCTCCAAACCCTGAACTAGTTTCCCTAAAAGACAATCCATCACATTCCAGAAAAGCAGACTGAGGCCAGGTGCGTAACTTGAGACATTAATTTCAAATTTTCTAGTAGCCACCTTTAAAAAGTAAACAGAACAGGCAGAATTATTCTAAGAATATACTCAAATTAAGCCCATTATCTAAAACACAATCATCTCAATACATAATATAAAATGCACTGTTGAAATATCCCATGTTTTTTTCATGCTGTATTTGAAATTCAGTGTGGGTTTTTTTTTTTTTTTTTAACTTTTATAATTCGGGTGTGTTTTGCAGCACACCTCAATTTGAATGCTGAATCTCCACTGGAAACCCTGAGTTGCATGCAAATTTCATGAAACTTACAGTGGAGAAAAGACTGCTATTCCTGAGCCGAGCTGGTCCAAACCCGACATCATTTTCCTCTAACTGAATCGAGAATCTGCTTTAACTTGAAGTTAACTAACATGATACAGCCACTTCCTCAGACACACCAGCCACATCTTGAGGCCCTGACACAGCCACAGGTAGCTGAGACCACCCAGCACCAGTGATGGGGACTGGTGGCCCACGAGTCCCCTCACACCTTTGTTTTCCCTAGAAAACCTGCAGTGGAAGGGCCTCCGGGGGGACAGACCAGGCCCTCAGTCTAGCAGGGACGTGAGCAGGGTGCTGACGAGGGGACCCTCCCTGCTGGCACTGGGAACAGAGGGCCACTGTGGAGGCGCAGGCCACATGGGTCTGCTGGGGCACCTGGTCCCACCCCAGCCGGGTGCGAGGGGCAGGCCCTGCGATGCTGGAGAGTGGCCCGGTGGTACGCTCTGGACAGCCCCTCAAGATCTGCCAACTGGCCCTGCTCGTGCCACCTTGAAACACCACAGACAGACCAGGGACAGGCCACCGTGCAGCTCAGGCCTCGGTCTGGTCCTCCCAGAGATCCCCCCCACAGAGCCAGCAGTTGGGGTGGGGTGCAAAGATCACAATCAAGGGTGGATCTTATGCCCCCTCCCACGTCCCCCTCAAGTGGGTGGGCCTTCAGATCCCCACACAAGATGCCGGGGAAACTCCGGAGTTTCCTTTTCATAAATCAGTGGGGACCAGCTGCATCCTGGGGTGACCCACTGGCAGTTAACTGCTGCAAATATCCCTCCCAGAGACCAACTAAGAAAGAAAACCGTGTGTGGGTGTGGGTGTGTGTCTGTCTGTCTGTTTGTCTGGATCCTGCAGGGGCAGCTCAAGGCCCAGGCCACACAGGGCTGGAAAGTACTTCCTCATAGAAGACACCACTCAGCCACAAACCCCAAACATTGATCTTCTCAACCAGCCACGGCCAAGGAGAGGCCAGGACCCTCCCAGGAAGCTTCTGTCACCCCAGCTGGTGGCGGGACCCAGGGGCAGCATCTGTGTCTGCACTCAGGGTCGAAGAGCCCAGGAAGCTGCCCTCCCCCTCAGAATCGGTCCCTGACCCCGACCTTCAGTGGGGGAGGGGAGGCAGTGCTGTGTGACCTCAAGGCCTGCAGCGGTGGCTCTCAGGGTCACTGCAGAACAGAGTCTGAGAGCAGAAGCCCAGAGCAAGCAGAGGACACACGGTGTAGGAACGCTGCTGACTGCGTGTTCGGTGGAGCAGAAACCCCAAAAGACACAGACCAAAATGACAGGGTGTTCTTTACTAGAGCAATCAGGTCCCCACCAAGCTTCCCTAGCACCTCCTAAAGACTGTGCAATAGGGTCACATCCCCTTGAATTAAAACAACCTAACCTGGTGGCACAGCTGCCCTCAGAGAACTGCAGCTGGAGGCAGCTACTTACCAGCTCTGAGCTAGGAACAGACCCAATAGAAGACGAGACGGTTATCGTCCCTTCCTCTAGGACAACTCACAAGCACCCACCGTGACAGACGAAATGCACTGCCACTTTAAAATCCCGCAATAAAGCAAACAGCAGCCTCACCAGGAAACACAAGGGGAGGGACAGATGCTGGCCAGGAGTGTCCCAGGAGGTCCACCCCACTACCTGAGCTAGTAGGGGCTTCGAGGGAAGCCCTATCCCCAGCCAGGCCGCCTGCCCCCAACCCACTCAGACAGAGGGCCATCCTTCCCACAGTCGGGACTGACACACGGCCCTGTCCGAGCCACGTGCGGGCAAGGGGAGGTCAGCTTTGGTCTCCACTGAAAACCTGGGGACAGCTGGATCAAGAACAATGACTCCATGAAAAACGAGAAAAAATCTTTTTCTCCCCCAAATGAAAATGCACGACGTCACTGCTCCATCATGTGTCAGGAGGGCAGGATCAATGCTGCCCGAGGACAAATGTGGAGGTCCTTGGAAGGAGCCTCTGAGGGTGGGGGAGGGAGTGGGAGCTGTCAATGCAGAGGCCACAGAGAGGGGAACCCCAGGAAAGTCACGACACACCCCCGGCAGCGGCTCCAGGAGGAGCAGTGATGTGAAGGTTGCCACGGAGATAGGGATGGTCCGAGCAGTGGAATGAGCTTCCACCAGCGGAAATAAAAGCCTAAGGAGGCCGGCACAGTGGGCACGGTGGGCACTGTAATCCAGCGGCTGGGGAGGCTGAGGCAAGAAAATCGAAAATTCAAAGCCAGCCTCAGCAAAAGCAAGGCGCTAAGCACCTCAGGGAGACCCTGTCTCTAAATGAGATACAAAATAGGGCTGGGGACGAGGCTCAGTGGTCGAGGGCCCCCGAGTTCCAATTCCCTGTACCAAAACAACCAGCCAACAACAACAAAAAGCCCTAAGGAGGCCAAACGGGGTGGCACAAGCCTGTAATCCCAGGCTGAGGCAGGAGGATCCCAAGTTCAAGGCCAGCCTCAGCAACTTAGCAAGACCCAGTCTCAAAATAAAAATGAAGGGCTGGGGTGTGGCTAAGCACCCCTGGGTTCAACCTCCAGGACAAAAAAACAAACCAGACCCAAGGAAGGCCGCTGCTGACCTGCCCGCGCTCTGGGTGGAGACTGAAAAGCAGAAGGGGGTGAAGCCAGTCTGTGTGAGGGCCAGTGTGCCCCAGGGCCTCGTGTGGGTGCCAGTACTCAAAGGACACACACTTGGCGCCTCCTGAGAGCCGAGGGCACTGGGTAGGGCAGGGGCAGGGCGGGGGCGAGCCACAGCACAGGGACAGCAGCCACAGACTTCCTGAGGCGAAGGACAGCACCAGCAAGTGTCCTGTCTGCCGAGCGCAAGAGCAGGTCAAGCCTGCCTGTGTGCCACCCACCAGGGTGCTCTGCCTCACCCGTCCCGCCACCTGGTCCCCCAGTCAGACCCCACTTGTCCTCCACCTGTGGCTGAAATGTCACCTCTTCCATGCAGCACCCAGTGCTCATAATCACATGGGACCCTCCCGCCAGGCTGCCACGGCTTCATCTGCATGGAGCACCCACATTTGGCCTGTCAGTCAGACCCCCACTCAGCCAGCAAAAAGCTGCTAATAGTGACAGCTGGAAAAATAGATTGGAAAATACTCCTCAAGTTTTGTACTGAGCACGGTTTTAAAAGCCGCCTGTGTGGGAGGTGTCTCCTCTCAGCCACAGTGACAGAGGACCGCGTCCTGAAAAGCAGCTGCTTTGC